CTGGTGGTTGGCATCTAGAAGCTCCACTTGATCCACCAGTCATTCGTTCTTATTCAATTACAAGTGTCTTTTTAGCAATATCACTCCTAGTTTTGAGAGCCAAGATGAGAGGGGATGCTACAGTTGAACTTCTCAGAAACAGGAGGAATCATTCATGGGGTGTTGCATTAGTGGCAGTGCATAGCAGCATTGTAATTGCATGCAGGGACTCTGGGAATAGTTGTTCCCAATTCTCTAGAGCTAACCCTTTACCAGCAGCTGCTAGTTGAACAGTCTTCTAGATTATTCCATTATACATCTTACACTGGCCATTACCTTGAGGTTTATATGGGGGTGTTCTACTTATGGCTACTTCTTGCTCTTGTAGGAATTGCCATATGCGTTTAGATATAAATAAAGCCCCTCTGTCAGAATGAATATACACTGGTAGACTGAAAATGACAAAAACTGAGGAAAGAGCTTGTATGACTGCTGTAGAGGATATATCAAGGCAGGGTATTATGAAAGGAAACTGTGAATATTTGTTAATTATTCTCAGCATATATTTATTAGGAGTTTTTGATGGAAGCAATCCTTTAAAATCCAATGCAATTCTCTCATAGGGTTGTGTGGCTTTTATGATTTTGTTGGTGTTAGGACAGTAAAACCTAGGTTTATTTTCAGTACAAGTTTTACACGATTTGGTGATTTCTTTCACATTCTCTACTGAGTAGGGAAAGATTGTTGATTTTCATCATGTGAACCATGAGTGTAACACCTCAGTGGTACAATTCTCTATGTGGTTTCTTTAACTCTTCTTTGCAAGCAGCTGAACTACATACACGAGTGAGAGAGAGAGAGAGTATTCACAACTGTTTTCTTTATTGGGGCAAGTACATTGTGTCAAATGAGTAACATGAGAGTTCCATTCTCCACCTGGCTATCTTCTTATTTTGCTTGTTGTTTTCGGGTTGAACATGAATGAGACTGATTTTTGGTCCATAATTAGTTCAATATGTCGCCCGATCAAATAATGGCTCAGTGATTTGACAATAACATCTTTCTCTATTGCAGAATGCCTACATTCTGATTTAGACAGGGTTCTGTAGAAAAAGGTTATGGGCCTCTCTGACCATCTTAAAGAGGTGGCTATGGTGCATTCTGAGGTGTCACTACTACCAGAGGTAGTGCATGATCAATAATGGCTGCGTTCACTATTTCTCTCTTTAATTTGTTAAACACTTTCTCTGCTATGGGAGATAATGGGAAGTTTGATACTGTTGTTAGTGGGTCGATATCCAATGTGCATAGTATGCAAACATTCCTAATGCACAGCGCAGAGCGAGTAAATCTTTTGGGACCAGTAAGCTGAGTAATGGATTCAGACGTTCTGGATCAGGTTTTATTATGTACCCAAATCATTTTATATTTTTACTTCTAAAATAACATTTGCTTTGGTTAAGCATAAGTTTGTATTTTTTAACATCCATCATGGACAATTTAAGATTTTTGTCATGTTCTGTTTGATCTTTCCTGCAAATAATTACATTATTGATATAAGCATAGGTGCCTTGCAGGTTCTCTTTTGATATTATCTGGTCTATCACTTGTTAAAAACTCACTACCCCATTAGTTACACCAAACAGTATTCTGCCAAAAAGAGTTTAATGCTGGCCTCAAAAGGCATATAATGTTTATTTCTGGGCCTTATAGTTACCTGATGGTAAGCACTTTAAAGTTCCCAAATACTAAATAGACAGTTTTTGGCTATTTTCTCTATCATATCATCTATTGTTGGCAGAGTGTAGGCATCTAGCAAAATAAACTAGTTTATTGTTTGGGAATAGTCGATTACCATTTGTTTTTTTTTTATGTTCTCAGAGGAGACTATGAAGGATTGGGCTCTCTACAGCAAATGGTTGGGTTCAGTTATTCCTTCCTTCAACACAACAAGTAATTTCAGTTTGAATAAATAATTTACTCTCCTCCATGTGTTGCCTAGATTTAGTAGCTATCAGTTTACAATCCAGTGTTAAATTGTTGAATAGAGCTGTTAGTCTGCAGACATTAAAGGGTAGCTTAGAGCCTCTGAAGGGTATTTCTACTAATGAATGTTGGGGTAAGAAGTTATGCCCTAATATTAGGTCACAGCTAAACAGTATCCAAGTATTTGTATGAAAAGAGATTAGCTAGCCAACACCACTTTGTTTAGGCACGGGTAAATTTTCCACAAATTTAGTTTTACAATGTTTGTGTTAAGGAAGTTTTCTGTGCTCCCCATATCCATCAGTGCTTTTAGTGGCTATTCGTTAGCAATGATTTCTATCATTGTAGTTGATAAGCAGCCAAATATATCCAATGATCCCAAATAAGTTACCGTAGTGCTCCCCTTTTTCTTACTTTTACAAACTTTAGCCCAATGTTCTTGCTTTCTGCATGTATAGAAATTTGTCCTTTCCAATGGGGCATAATAACCTTGTATGTCGCTTTCCCCCCACAGAAAAACCATCTGCATTTAGTTAAAGCTGATATTTTTAGGTGAATCTAGCATTTCATATAATGTGGAGGGCCAAAATAGGTGGAGGTGTCTCTGATGTTACTGCAACTGTATCGAAATAATTAGCATTTTGTTCTTCTAAATTTAGTACACTTGCCTGGTCATACACTTGCTGTAATGTAAAGGTGGTGTTCTTGAGTATTCTTCATTGGATATCCATGGACTGTAGCTCATTCATGAAGGCATCTCGAATCAATTTGGCTCGATATTGTTCTGCTGATACTGAAGAAAATGAACATTCCTTACTTAGGTTTATCAAGGCTTGATAAAATCCGTCAACGGAGTTTGTGGGCAGTTGATGCCTTCTAGTCAGTAAATATCTAGAGACCATTTCATTTTTCTTTTTAATGTAGATCGTGTCCAGTGCTGTTAAAGCCTGTTCATAGGAAGATGCATCTGCTAAATAATTGTAAACATGTACTGAGACATATTTGGTAAGATAGTGTAGCTTATTAGAACTTTGGTTGCAGTATGCACTGAAGAAGTTCCCCAGTGACAATATTCCACTTTGGCATCACACGTGTTGAGGTCAATAATAAGTTTCTCTGGACAGAGTAAATTAGCCATTATCAAAATGGTTAACAATGAGAGTTAATTAAATTGTAGTAGAATTGTTCAAGACAACACATAGCACTTATCAGTAAGTTTTAATAAACTCTGTATATCAGCAGAGTTCTCCTGAATATGTGTGTTCAGGACAGATAATGAGGGAGATGGATCATACCATACTATCAGTCTAAAATACCAGAATTCAATCAAATAAATCTTGCATAATATGTAGATAACACCCATTCTTGATAATGACTGTGATAGTTAAAAGGACTTGAATATATTAAAAAAAAAACATGAAACTTGTCCAGTTTTTTCACAGCTTTAATCCTGATGTACAATAACACATTCAGAAATTAGAAAGATATAATAAAAGGTTGAATAGATAGACCTTGTCAGTGGAACTTAATAAAACTTATTTCAATGGATTCTGGCTTCCTAAAGACACCCCTGTGTGTGTGTGTGTGTGTGTATATATATATATATATATATATATATATATATAATGTAAGAGAGAGTTAATTTCAGAATGTTTTGCCAGGGGATAGTTACCAAAGTTAAGTATATAACTGAAGAATCATCTTTGATTTGTTCTCAGGAATCTGACAATATAGATTAAAGTGTATATTTCCCTTGTCAAGTTTATAACCCCAAACTTTCTCTATATGTTACCCTTGTCTTCATTTTTCCTTGCTATTTGTAAAATTTTTTTTTTTTTTATTTTCCCATGAAATCTTTTGTTCTCTTTATTCTTTATTTTATTACTTTATGACAAAACTCATTTCTACAGAAATTTTGTATTTTTCTTCTTATCAATATTTCCTGATAGATTTCCGCTCTTATATTTAGATAGTTGTCTAGCTAGGTTGCTAGGTAGGTAGGTACTATCTTTTGCCTCAGGTGGGTATGTAGGAGGCTGACATTCTACTTAAAAGCTGCATATAGATGGGATTTCATTTTGTGAACATTAGTCTCTGTGTTACAGTCATTGACCTTCACACAAGCTCTCTGATCCGTGAATGTAATGTTAGCCAACCAATTGATTGTATGCCCAGATAATGACTGCTCTTACCCCCCAACACACACACACTTCACATCAGGTTTCCACATTCAGCAGCAGCCCTAGTGCCTTCCAAAATTCCTATTTGCAGATTTTGTTGGTGCCATTGAATTTACCAAATGACCATCAAAATCTTTTTCCTTTCTTTGAAACAAAAATTTTATCTCTTAAGGCAATATGTCCTTGGCCACATTGCTGCAATACAAAACCTATTTTTTTTTTTTTTACTATTTTTCCTTTTCCCTGTTTGGTTGTTCTTTCTTTACCATTTTAATTCTACTTATTTCTCTTTCTTCTCTAAATGACATCCAAACTTTCTATCTTTTCATTCACTTACACTAATATATGTACATCTACTGCCTCTTTCCTTTTTCCCCTCACTCTGCTCATCTCATCCTTCCTGCTATTTCAAGACATTTCTTTACCAAATGCAAAATGAAACACCATTTGTCACACATGAAACTTGCTTTGTTTTCATATCTTTACTTAAAAAAAAATAAATAAATAGGGTAAAAAAATTATTTCTATTGTTGCAAATTTCTATCCCATTTTTTTTCTTTCTTTCATTGGAGCCAAAACCATTAAAGAAAAAAGCACTTTAGTCTGCCAGAGAATCCAAAAGTCACTTCCTGGCAAGTGGGCGGGGAAAGCTTTTACTGTTCATCACTTTAAATCCAAAACCTTTCCATGTCGACACTTTTACAGTGAATACTTAGCAGAAAGTAAATTTTTTTTTCGTTTTCATATTGCAAGCACATGCTAACATTTTATTAACTATGATGTCCATCTTTACAGTTAAACATTTTCAATCTTACATTTTTATTTACATTCAGTATTTGCTGTCTCTCTTTGCAGGCAGATTTACAAACCAGTTCTCAACGCTTGATGCTGTCTGGGGTAACCCCGCACCCTACCGCTGAACTAACTCCTGATGATAGCATTGATGGTGTCATTCATCATGAAGTTAAGGAACTTGGTACTCATATGTAAGCACATTGCTTTGTCTATTAAAAGTGTGGCTAGTGAAACTGGCAAAATGATTTGAAGTCTATCAATTGCTGTATTCCATAAAGGCATTCACCCTTGAGAAAAAGCACATCGTTGCAAACCCCAATTCAAACACATAGACATCTAATGTGAACACATAATTCTAACCTTACTAAGCGCAACCATAAAACTGTTAATCTCTTTCTGCTAAAGCTTTCCTGTTCATTTTGAATAAACATCAAAAGAGCTTTGAGTGGTCAATCCAAAAACACTTGATGACCAAAACGATTGTTGCATCATAGCACTTCACACTTATATGCAAGTCCTTGTAACTCAGTATCTTTTCAGTACTTTGCATGATACTTTGCTTCCAACATCAAGACTTGTTTTTTTGAGATCAAGGTTAGAAAAGAAGAATGGTTAGGTTTATGATAATTAAACTTACATTGCAAAAGGAAAGTTTTAATTTGAAACAAGATCAAACTAAAGGGGTAAAGAAGCTCAATTTATTTCTTCAAATACTAATTGATGAGAGTTTTAACTTGAAATTGCTATTGTAAAGCTTCTTCCCTGGTTAGCATAAGTGTTTTATATATTCACATAGTTTCTGTTTCTGTCGTTATCAGTATTTAGAGTTAACAGATTTGATTAAAAAATAATGTCACGTGATTGTATTGTGCCAAATGTGCGCATTTTCTTTTTTTTTTTTAAAAGAATTGTCAAAATTGACTTATTTTTGTTTATTGTGTCTAATTTTGAAAATGAATAAAAATAAGCAATATTTTTGATATATGATGCATTTTTTAAATTTTATTTTCAAAAAAAGTAAAAAAGAAAATGAAATACAAAAAAGATTTGTGCAGTTTATGCAGAAAGTAGATGATCAAAAATTATTTCATAATATTTTGTGCTGAAGATTCCCTCATTTAATGATTCTCTACAATTCGGTTGAAGTTGACAACAACAATAATAATAACAACAACAACAACAACATGAGACTCATCAATATGATACATTAGGAAGAAATTGTTAATATAATAATCAAAATATCCAAATCAAGCATTGGCAATTCTTTGGCATGAAAGATAAAAATTCTCTTGAAGGATGAAATTATGAAATTAAAAAAAATATATATTGTATTTTTTCTTAATAAATCAAACATAATGTTTACATTACTCCATTGTTAACTTTTATAACATTATCAGGTAACTTTAACCCATTACCTTCCACGAGCCCCATTTGGGGATCTGTTAAAATTAAACTCACTACATGTTATTCTTTGTATTTACATTGAATTGCTTACATACAGTGCATTTGCAGGGGTATATTTTACAACACTTAGCCTTTAAAATTTTTATTATTAGCCGTAAGAAGACACTTTCTGGTCGTAATTTTATATTTCACGAGTAGAAAAATAATGACTGTTTTGAAAAGTATTTTTTTATTATTTCTAATCAATATTATTTTTTGATGTTTTATACACATATATATTTGATGTTCTAGTTTCTATAAAAATGACAATGGTAACTACTGAAATTAAACATAACGAATAAATAAACTCCTAAGACACCTGTCTGGGCCAAAAATGTGCATTAAAAAATTTGGCAGTTAATGGGTTAAATTGTAGAAATTTAGAACAAAGAATTTCTAGTTTCATTCCATATCATAAGAACTTCCTATATAACAATTCTTATATTACTTTGGCATTTGTTCAAGTCTAGTCTTTGTCCCAAGTTCTCAGTTTGATTAAATGCTTCAGTAGATTTTGTGATTCAAGTTTGAATTTGTTCAAAGTTACTTGTAATAATGAAAATGCTTAATCTCACTTTCTGAGACATGTCAATGCTGTTGTTCTCCAAGCAAAGGTCCATGGATTGATACAGAGAAGTTAATATTTGGAAACTGGGTACATTGCAAGTTTCCAAACTTTTTACTGTTTGGTGCTACACATTTTTACTTGATTAAATTAATGTTAGAAAAGCATTGTTGGAATACTAACTGAGGCAACAATAGCATAACCCGAGTTCCTTAAAGATTTACATTAGTGGAGAAAACTTGCTCTTCAATCTTAAAGCCCAAATTCTTTTCAAAAGTTCATACACAACACAAGTAGAATTTGTTACACAAATAGAAGTTTTAGTAATCTTTACTTTATTTATCTTTAATGAACTGTTTTTTTTTCTCTTGTTTCTTTTCTTGGCAAACATTGTCCATTCTTTTCTGTTTGCAGTTCACAGGTTTTCTTTCTTAGTGTGTCTATTCATTTCTTTTATTTGACCACAAGCATTATATTCATTTCTTTTATTTGACCACAAGCATTAGAGTTTTAACTTTCATGCAATTCCTAATGACAGGAACTACTGTCTGCATTTCTCAACCTCCTTTTCCCAATAACATAGACATTTGTTTGTCTGTCAATTAACAAGTTTTCTCACCTGCCAAATCCTTCATCCACCACCAACTCTTCCTTCTTCCCAATCACTTCCCTCCAACCCAACTTACTCTGCCAGATTTTATGGCCTTCAAATAATCATCATTAGCAAATCTGCTTAATCTCCTGTTGCACTTAAATGGATTAAAAATTTTGTCTCCATTCAACTTCTTTACTGAGCCAAAACAAACCCATTGTTAATATTGTCACAGTAGGTGAGTACATCAGTTAATGGGGAGGGTGCAAGTGTGTATATGTGTGTGTTAATTGTAACACACATCAGTTTATTTATTCTGTGTATGTAATTATTTAATCATGTGCATTAATATATTTTTCTTCTCTCAATTGTAAACATATTGGAAAATAGTCCTCAACATGTATGATCCAATGTATTTGTACTCTATACAAATATGATAGACATATCTTAAGTTTGTTACTTAATTTGTTTGTAGGGAAACATACAGAGACAGAAAAATAATTTTTTATCCGAAGGCTTCCTCAATTAAACCAAATCTGGACCTGCAATGATTGAACTTGTAAATGTCTTTCATTACTCTTCATGTGTATGTGTGTGTGGGCTGTTTATCTGAGTGTACTCAGCAGCAAATAGTTGTTTTTTTTCCAAATTATTCATTTTCTCAAGTGCTCTACATAAAAAATCAGATTGAACTCTGGACCTAATTTCCATGTCTTTTTGATAAGAACACATACTAAATACATCCAAAGTTAATTCAAAATTGTTTTCATTTGAAATATTTTATTAACTTCCCACTTGTTTTACACCCCGTTAAAATGGTGCCAATGTTGACAAAATATGGATTACAACACTATCAAGATATCTACCCATTTTTGTATTCATCATCTCTATTTCCTCCCTGAATGAAAGGAAAATCAAATGATATCTGCTCGGTCCTTTCCCCACAGATGTTTTCTCCTTGAGTGGAGGAAGAAGGTTGCACCACCACATCACACTACCACTGAGAGAGTTACCTCCACCCAACACTTATGTTCTCTCCATGAGTGGAGGGTCACATCTTTCTCACTGGAAGGTAAGACTCATAGCCCCCTTCCCATCCTCTACAACTAACATATTCTCCCCAAGTGGAGGTTCACATTGCAATTTGTTCCTTTCTAATTGACCTGGGATTTTTGCCAATTCACCCCAGGATTTATTCTGACATTTCAATAATTACTTTGAAATTTGCAGCTTGTACAAAAGCTTTCTCTCACTCATCACCAAATTTTATGCAGTTTCCATTTATGCAGAAGAAAATAACTTGCACCTCCTCCCCACTCACCCATTTCTGGAATTTGGACATGCAAATATGCACTTTTTACATTTGATAAGAATCCACTGCATGTTGTAACAGAGAGAAACAACTGGAATGAGGCATACTTGTAAAACCTGTATTCCACATAAAACATTTGAAAAGTAGAATGTAAATCATTGTATGCTTATCAGATTTATAATTTAATATTTATTTGTTCATTTGTATTGTTTTACTGTTGGATGGCATTAGGAGTGTTTAGTTTTAATACTGTCATATCAATGTAATGGCTAAAAGAGATTTGTACATCTTATGAAGTAGCAACAGCGAATAAATAAATAACAGTTTGTTTTGTTTTTTTGCTGGAGATTTCTCACTAAATGATGTTCTAGGGTCAGGTAAACCAGTTGATGTTGATACCAATAAAATTAGCTGTCATCAATGTTATACAATGCAAAAGATAGTCAACATACTCAAGGTATCTAAAATCAAGTATTGAAAAACATTTTCACCAGCTTGGTTATGGCTTAGGTTCGTTGATTTCATGATATGTCAACCCTTATAGGATTATTTAACATTGAACTTTTGTATGGAACATAGTTGACCATTACTACTGGGTAAAACAAACAGGTAAGCCTTGCTAACCATTACTCCAAGTGGAAGTATTCTAGCTTTGTTATGTTAGTCAATTTGGTGCGTAGCTTTCACAGAAGTTAAAAAAATCTTATTTAAATGGAAACAAATTGTGACAAATGGTAAAAAGTGGATACTTTATAACTTGAATGGAACAAAAGAAGTTCATAGGGTAAGCAAAATGAACCACCATTAACCATTTTAGAAGCCAATCTTTGTCCGAAACTAATGTTGACTATATAAGATTGGATGAGAGTCCTCTGCTATGATCACCTTCTGGAGAACTAAGCAATTAATTCAAGTAATTACTTTGCCCAATTTAACCAATATAAGAAGCAATTGACAAAAAAGCATCTGATATCAGATAAAATATGTAATAGCCTATCAAGTTAATTTCTGACTGTATATTTCTTTGGTAGCCAGGCACTAATTGTTACAGATTGGCTGAGAAGTTTTCATTCCTCTGCTTTATTCACTAGATATTATCCCTTGGTTTTACAGAATTCTATTAATGAGAACATTAGTTCCCTGCAAGAATGCAAATAACACAAACAAAAATGTTTTGTTGAGAAAAATAAAGTTTTGAGAGGATAAAATTATGAAGTTGGTAAAAAAAAATGGCAGAAGATAATAGAACAAAATGGTAATATTTTGTTCTGTAATATGTCAAAAATAAAGAAAAATAAAGAAAAAAGTTATGGCTTTTATCTGAATTACAGTTTGAATATCAATGTATCTCTTGTAAATATCTGATACGTTTCTTCAATGAAGAATCATGTCTGCTCAAAAAATGTATCTGCAAATACCAATTTGAACATTTTATCATTGAAATATAAACCTCAAATTTCAGTTGCTTTTCATCACAACTACATGGACCATCACTCTATAACAACAAAAAGGACCTGAATAGCTGCAATAAAACAAAACAACTGAAATGAAAATGAAAGAAATGTTAGACAAAAATTAATCACCGTCAATGCTTTATCTCTATCTATAGAAGGCAGGATGTGTGTGTGTGTGTGTAATGAATACACGGCCGCAATTTTCGATGGATTTGCACCAAAATTTACATGCACATGCTCCAAGTTAGCGGGAAAGCCAAGACTGACTTTGCATTTCCCAACTCACATCAATAGTGGAAATAATTGATTTTTCCATGCTTCTACGGCAGTTTTCATGTAGTTTGCGGCCATTTTGTAATGGCCAGAGTGAGAGCCAATAGCTGGCTGCCACAAATAGGCAGGAAGATTCTATTGGTCATTGTGAGAGCCAACAGCTGACTGACACAAATGTTAACTAGCATGCAAAAAAAATCAATAGCTGCATTCGTCACAAGTGGGAAAAATTTAAATCTGCATGGCACTTTACTCCAATTGGCTCATTTGCTTGCTTAAACTCAACGTTGATTCTGATTCCACAGAACTGGGTTGGGTGTGAAAAAGTATTTGTTGTTAACATTCTTTTTTTCATTTGGTTTTTCCAGTTAAGAGTCCTTTTTTAAAGCTGATCGTTTTGTTTTCATTTTGTTTAGTTCTTTTTTCGTAACAGATTTAATGTTTAGTATAGAGCTTAGAAAAAATTTGCAGTGTGAAATAGGCAAGAAGTAAGGCATGTAGCAACATCAGCACGGCAAAGGGCACTCCTTTAAAGGCAAGGAAGGGCAAAAATATTTTAAGTCAAGTGATATCGATTGCTGTATGAGTTGTACGATTTTTGAATCAAGCACGGGCAACGCTGCTAGTCATAATGATAAAATTCAAGATAATAAATGCGTTTTCTTTCTAAGCTTGATTTTAATATTTATTCATTATTATAAAAGGTAAGAATTATAGCTGCTCTTAACAAATGAAATGTGTAGACATTTTTTACAGTCTTGATTTAAATATTGTTTACATCATAGCTTTTATCTATTTTCATAATTGACCGAATCATGCCTGTGTCATTTAGTTGATAATAATGTCTAGACATTTCACTCCTTTTATTTTTTTGGTGGGGTAGGAGGATGATTTTATTCAAAAACAAAAATGATGTTTTCTGAAAGAGTATTAATGAATTTTGAAGTACATGAAACCAATTATGATTTATCTACTCTCAGTAAGATTACAATCTCAATTCAAAATCAATTATTCAGTCTTTAAAACTCAACGTTTTTTGTAATCCTAATAAAGAATATAAATAGGAATCTTTTACACACTATTTCTCTTTTATTCTATGACCTTTGATGACCCCTTATTAAGAAAATCTAAATTTGAATAGAACTGTTGGATTGAATCAATTCTCCAAATGAATGTCTTATTTGTTCTTCACATGTGTGTTACTCCATTTTGGGGGAAATGTGATGGAACCAACATTTCTATCTTCAACTTTTCAAGAAGATTTGCTGCACAATGGCATTCATTTTATATTTTCTTTATCTTAGATGCCATATGTTCAATGTCCATTTGTTAAAATGCACTTTTCTTTTGATGTGAGTGATCATATCTTTCCACAACTTCCTAAACTTCATAGCTCTAAGTAATATTTGTTAACTTCCCCCCCCAGGGGGGGGGCCTGTTCTGCTATCTATTTATTTGTTAGGTAGATTAATCTCTGTTTCCCTCTAACCATCTTGCCTTCAGTAGGTTCTGCAAACCCTATTTCCTCATAAGGAAATTCAACCTGAAATTCATTCTGATCCCAAGCACAGGTGACCTTTTATGTTTCCATTTTCCACAAAACATCCTCATTGCCCACATGTTCCATCTATGGTATTCTCAGCATCCTTCCATATAAACCCATCTCTGCTGCCTAAATTAAATATTGACTGTGATTATGACAGCTTCAAGAACTTCTAGAGGAATTAAAAGGGCTCAATGAAAATCATTAGGTGGCAGAGCCTTTTTCATTACTGATTGTTCAACATGCTTTTGCTTTCAGTTTGGTGTGCGCTGTCAGTTATGTCTCTGAATCAGGGGAAAAAATGGCCTTCCGTAAATTCTTCAAATTTCAGGTAAGATTTTTTTTTCCCTTTCATTAAATCTACTAAGGAAATCTTTCTTTACAGACTTCTCACCAAATTCTTCTTTCGAACCTTTCTTGAAAGTAGTATTGCTCATGATATAATCCTAGGGAGTCAAGGCAGTACATTTGCATAGCTCTTAGCCAACAAGATGTTGATCAGGATATTATGAGAAGCCAAATAGATGAATTCTGGGAAACTCTTCTCTCGTGCAATCAGTTTATAAACTCTAAAAACTACATGGCCATTCTGTTGGAATCATTGTTGTAGCATTTTTTCATTCTATAGCTGCCTGCTTCTTATAAAAACTCATTTCTCTCTTATCATCTGGAATTAATTTTAGGGAACTTCAAATTTTACTCAAAACATTTACTGTTCTGAAATGGTTACCATTCTAAGTAGTGACCACATTTAACATTACTTAACTTTGAAGAAGAATGGTATGGATAATCAGAGTTCTGCAAACATTTTCCAAAAATCAATTATTTCTGTTTTTCTTTGTCCTTTTTATAGGTGCTGAAACCACTGGATGTGAAAACCAAATTTTATAATGCTGAAGTAAGTTTTCATTTATTTGATCTTTTTTTTTCTTCATCTGTCCATCTTCATCAAGGTTTCTTTCTTCAGATCAATAAGGTAACATCAAGATGGTTTCATAATTCTTTTCCAATCTCTATCATCAGTGTTTTTAACTCGTCATTTTGATGAGACTTTAAAAGTCAAAGTTCAAGATAGGTCTGATCTATATGAAAAGAGGCATTAAGACTCCCTCGATAAAATTGGCAAGGATTCAAGTGCCAGAAAGATTCCCATTGTTCCCCACCCACTCGAGAGTTAGTCAAATAAAATGATAATCTTGGTGGGGTTTTTTTTTTTTCATATATAAAAAAAATAATAGAGGACACTCTGGCAAAGTTAAACTTTTCTACAGGGGAATTAACTTTTCCTTTATGGAGAATAGAGGCAGGCTATTAAAGAAATAATAATAATAATAAAAAGAATTATTTAGTTAAACAAAGAAAACTACAAAGTTTATTGTAGTAGTAGTAGTAATAATAATGATGATCCTGATATTAGGCCATTTATAATTATTATTTTTTTTATCATTATTACTAGATGGAGATATTTAAGTAATTGTTGCAGTTGCATTGGTTATATTTTCTGCATAAGCAATTTGCAGTCTATATGATTATCTATTGTCACATATAAAAAAAAGAATTGTTTTTATAGTGAAATGCTAACCCAATGAGTGGGAATGCATTCGCCTGTAGATCTTCCTCCTAGAATTGATGCTACCACATTTGTTCCTCTTGTATCAAAATGAACAAGAAAAAGTAAACACCACCACAGAAATGTGATATGTAAAGTTTAAAATGAATTTTTAAAAATGAAAAATCTTTCTTGAAGCTTTTATTTTTGTTTTAAGCTAATAGATTAAATTTAATATTTCCAATAAGCAAAATACTTTGCTGTACTTCAAAATTAATTTAAATTAACTGGAAAGAGTTTTCATTTTGAAATTACTGAGTTTAACAATCTGTCAGCACAATGTAATTCTCTTTAAAAAGTCTTTCAAAAATAAAATATACTTTTCTGTAACTTTATTTGAGGAATATTAGCCGATTTAAAGTGTTGACAGCTTTACCTTAATTTCCAAATCAATGTTTTTCACTGCAAAAAAGCTAAAATTTCCTAATCTTTGATCCGCCTGCTGATGCAAGAAACACAGGATTTTAAACATTCTAAAAGGATGAAAAAAATATAATTTAAAGATCAAAATATCCTTTGGTCTTTCCTCTTCATGACAAAGATTTTGATGATAAAACTTTAAGTTTGGGGTATTTTTTTCATCATGTTATGCTCATTTTTTAGCAGATGGACCTAAAAAAAGAGAAACTATCTTTCATTGACATAATCTATGAAGTGGTGTTGGGGTCTGAAAGACCGAAGCCAGTGGTGACATGGAACACAACAGTAGATAGTCATATTGAGGTCAAACATGACTAAATGTTCAATAGAAACTTTCATCTCGTGTATCCCCCAGTTATTTTACTTCCCCCTCTTCATTATATTGGCAAAATAATTGAGACAAATTGAAGTTTGGTATAAGTTTCATATTGCTTAATTCATATGAATACTTGTAAATCCTCAGCAGTTATTGTAGACTTTGGTTGCTTATTTCGTGAATCATTTTCAAGTTGATCACCATATACAGTCTTCAAAGTGGCCCATTTGAATTAATTATTGTATGTTTGAAAAAGAAAAAAAGACACTATCCAGTTACTAAAAAATGTCCTGCACATATTTCTTAAACAGTATTGGTAAGGTAGGTAGGTCACTAGTGGAACTCCACTCTCTTCTAAATTTGACAAATTTATCATAAGAGCTTCTTGTCCTGGATTTGAATATTTCCTACCACATTTGTCACAAGGAACTGACTCTGTCTATTGTAAGACAACAGTTGATAATGGTAGAACAAAAAAATAAAAACATGGATGACATCATCAATTTTAAACTTTCTCACAGTTTACATTGTCTCCTCTTCAATTATTAAAATCTCAAGATCACAAGTGATACTGATTGAGGACTGAACTCATTACTCAGTAATAATGATACAACAATGACAAGGCACCTAATTATTACATTTGGTGCTGAGACACATTGCAATTGGATTTTGTCTATTTTGAATGAGTAAATGGTTGAATGCAGGAAATAGTTTTTCTTCATCTTTATACCAACTACAAAGTGATGTTAATGCAGATATTGATTCCTGATTCTCAACCAATCCTGTCTGGCAGGACAAAAAAAAAATTATAACTTTTTAAAAATCTTTCTGTGTCATTTCAGCTTTCAGCATTTTTTTTTCCTCATAAAATATATGAACAAATGTGTCTTTGACACATTGACTTTTTTTTTTTATATTGGTGAAAAACAAATTTATAAGCTTCTCCATATTTAATTTTTTTTATTTTTCTTAATATAAAGTTTAACATTGTTTTAAGATCTGAACATATTGAGTCTAGTAGTTGCTTCATCTTTGCAAAAGATGACCTGGGATATTAAGAAAGTGCATACAATTTATGTTAAGCACATATTAAGAAATAACAAAAAGGAATCAGCATCTCATTAACCCTAAAGTTTCACTAATGATGGATGAGATTGATAAATAACAAAAGAATTACCATGTAAATGCAGCTTTATTCAAATTAAACTGAGCATTTACTTGTACAAAGTTACAGTCTGTATTTACAATGGTTGAGTTACCATTTTGGTTTGGAGAGTTCTGTCAAGGGGGTAATTATATGAAATATATAAAAATGGATGTGTTGTATAAAAGCATCCTTTTTATCAACTAGGATTTACTTAAAAATTGATTCTGCAATTGGCAGTGAACATCTCACTTTCCTCTCAGTCCTGCATTATCACATTTTAAATTAGTCTGCAACTCAGTGTTCTATAAAAATTGAAGGTTTTGGCTAGATTACCTGCATAATTTATTTTGTAGAACTTAACAGAATCTTTCAAAAATTGGCTTGGACATCCAAAAATCTAATTGAATTCATTTTATTGTTTAATCAACCTATGAATAGTATCAATTGCATGCATCATAAACACTAAACAACATGGTCTATAAATTATAAGTAAACATTGACAGGATCGAATGCTGATGAAAATTTTGACTTGTCCCGTATTGAGAAAACTGCAAATTAATATCAACTCCAAATACATTTTGTATTTAGATTACTTGTTAAGTCTTCCAGACTAAGGGCTTTGCAGAATTTAAGCCAGCTTTCAGTTAAGTATCAATCCCATCTAATAGGATTTGTGGTAACAATGAAATTAAAGAAAAAAAAAAAAAACAACCTAAAACTAAGTTTAGTGTAGATGTTGGCAGTGGGGGAATGAACGGTCTAAGGGGGATTGTCTGGTCCCATCAGAGCACAAGTACTTTCTATGATTGGTTGACAGTCTTCATCTGTTTTCTCTTCTCTGATCAGACTAAGAATGGAGTGGTGCTGCCCAGTCCTCAAAGAGTTACAAAGCATTTACATATTCCTGAGTCCCACAACAACCAAGCCATGTACACATCTCTTTGTGTTTCTTTAGTAAGGAATAAGTTCCATTCAGACAGCTTCTTCCCCAAAACTGTGGAACAGATCTCCAAGAGGATGCTTCCCTGACCACTATAAAATTGCTCTTTTCAAAACCAGAGTCAACCAATATTTATCCTACATATCCTCATAATATACACTGCCTGCTTCCTTTCAGTAATTCACTACCTATAGTGGCCCTTGGGTTTGTATTGGGTGAACTAAAGTATAAGAAAAAAAGTGAATTGGTAGAAATCAATATGCAAAGAAACTGGTACAAAACACATGAAACCAACACACAATATGGTATTTATGTGATGTCAACAGAATCACCATCCCAAACCTCTTAAAAAAAAAAAAAAAGTACCAATAGTTAAAACCTGGTACAAACACACACACAAAAACTTGTTAAATTACATCTGTGCCTCTCATTTGAAGAATAAAATAAATTTAGATTGTTTATTTTTCAGTCAGATGAAGTGTATTTGGAGGCCCAGATCCAGAACATCACTCCTGGCCCCATCTTTATGGATCACGTCAGTCTGGAGCCCTCAGTCTCTTACACAGTCAAGAAGATGAATGACACTGAAGACAATGAAGGGTAAGTTGAATTGCTCTGAGTGACAAAGCATTAAGGATTTACTAACATTTTGAAGTAGTTGTTTGATCAGTTTCCTAAAGCAACTTTGCTTTTCTTCGTCATTTGATTTCACAATGCTATACAAGACTTTTGCTTTTAACCAAATTAAAATCTGTCAAAAACAATTTCCTCTTTTTTTTTTTATTATTGCAAACATTTGTTATAAAACCTGTTTGTTTTTTTTTATTATACATACAAGACCTTATGTAATATAAAGATGTGGATCAATCCTTTGAAACTATTGTCATGAAATATTTGACTTCTTTGCAGTTCACATCCAGTGTTTGGCAAAGTAAATTACCTGAACTCTTTGGACACCCGGCAATATCTGTATTGCCTCACACCAAAACCTGAAGCCTATGCTGAGAGCAAAGTGCTTAAAGGAGTCACTAATATTGGCAAATTAGACATCACTTGGCGTACAAATATGGGAGAACGAGGTCGCTTGCAAACAAGTCAGCTTCAAAGAGTGGTAAGTGGAAACAAGGCTATAAGAAAAGAAAAAAAAAAAAATTTTTTTGTGAATGTGTATATATATATATATATATTCTTACACACTAATTTATCACAAGGAAAAATTATCTTCTCCATGATGGGAAAGAGCAAAATGTGAAAAATCTGCTCCTGTGGCTAGAATAAAGGATTCAGTTTGAAATTCCTCTAAATCAACTTTTCTAGGCTGAGATATTAAATTTAATTTTGAATACAATTAAAAAGTAAAAAGAATTAATGTCATTTGGAGAGCCAACAAACAAAAAAAGTGTGACAAGAATTTAAATTAGTGTTCTCTTTGCAGGCCCCTGGCTATGGAGACATTCGCCTCACAGTGGAATCCATTCCAGACACCGTCTCCTTGGAGACGACTTTCACTATTACATTCCGTATTACTAATTGCTGGTAAGTAAAAATACTTTACTTCCTTTTTTTTTTTTTTTTTACTTTTCAGTCACAGATTATGTTCTGGCCATCAATTTCATGCTATCTTTTCACAGACATAGTTTTTGTTTTTGAAAAAAGGGTAGGGATCAAACCTGAATCTGAGATTTTATTTAATTAAGGATTTCTTTTTCTCTTTCAGTGAACGAGTTGTGGATTTGACTTTGATTCTTCAGAACAATATTTCCTCGGGTGTTCTGTGGTGTGGTCTGTCAGGAAAACAATTGGGGAAACTTCCCCAGAATAACAGCATGGATCTTCCCTTAACGGTCATTGCGACATCACCCGGATTGCAAGTCAGTGTAAAATTCTTTCCAATGTCATAATGCCAAAAACTGTTCTAATATAATTAAAATCTTATAATTATCTTATTTTCCTTTTTTGCAGACTGTGTCTGGTCTTCGCCTGACTGACAACTTTCTGAAACGTACATATGAACACGATGAGATTGCACAGGTTTTTGTTTGTGGCTGAAATGCAAGTTGTGATTTTTATTTTTCACTGTAGTAAATAAAAATGGTTTGAAATGCTGGAAAAGAAGAAATTGTTTTGTGTTCTTCCTTTCACATCAAATAAAAGGAAAAAAAAAAACAAGGGTTTTGGCAAGTTCTTGTCAAATGTGAAACTTTATTTTTTTCAAAATGATGAGAGAAATCTAGTTTTAGTTTGTTTGATGGTCAGTTAATCTAAATTGGCAGAAGGCAAGTCTACAGAGAGGGGGTGGGGGAGAAAGGAGGAAAGAGAAGCCATTGCATGTCAAAAAGGTCAATGACATATCACAGTATTTTATTTAATACTTGCAGGAGAGGCAGGAAAGGGAGGAGTGACTATTGCTTTAGCCCTCCTCACACACCACCTTCAGTTCCTGTGGCTGTAGTGATGAAAGTTGCTATGGTAACCTGTGATATTTATCCAGTCCCTTGGAGTCCATCTAAATATGTCTGTTTGGCGCCCAATGATTTCAAATCATGTCACTGTTTATTGCCTTCCTCTGAAAAGAATGAAAGAGATGACAATCACAGTCTGAAGATAAAAAGTAAAAGTGGAATGATAAGAATTAGAGGGGGACAGAAACTGACCACTATTGGAAGGTTCTGATGAATTGTTTGGGAGGTTCACCTGTCGGCGCAATTGAGCCACAAGGTCCGGGTTCTGCTGCTGCATTTGTGATGCTAATTGTTGGCCCCTGTAATGGACAGAAGAAGAGACCAAATAGCAATGAATATGGTACTTAGTTTTATAAGGGAGATAACTTTGTCTAAATTTCAGAGATAAGGAATGTCGAACCAAACCATTTATTCAATTTCCTGGACAATAGAAAGGCGTTGGTTAAGTGAGCCTCGTTACCTTGGTGATAAACAGTTCAATTAGTGGAGCTTGAATAAAGGGTGCCGTTCGAAACTTCCACAAGTTTACTCGAAAGACATGAAGGTACAACGGCCAAAGAACCAAAACGAGTGACAAGGGAGGTAACTCTTGACTAATGACAAAAATGGTTTAAAATAAAATCAAAAAATTACATCGATAAAGTTTACATTTCAAAAAAAATAATAAATAAATAAATTGGAGATCAGGAAAGAAAGAAACCAAAATTTGGAGATCAGGAAAGAAATGACTTACGCTTGTAACAAAGTGCTAAGGCCTCCATTATTTCCTTCACCAGCTGCCGAAGACATCAAGTTGGACATCCTGCACACAAATAACAAGAATTGAAAAAAAAACTTACAGAAAAAAAATTCCTAAATGAAAAAGAAAAACTAATCATTTACTTACATGGATTGCATTTGAGGATTGGACATCATACTGGCAGCCTAAATATATAAAAAAAGAAAAATCAATTTCCATCATTTAAATTTTGAAATTTCATTTCTTATAAAAATTCTTAAGTCATACACACATAAGATTTGCATTGTAACACATTTTTATGAAGTGAGGGGGGGGACAATAAACGAGACTTATATAGGAAGACTTTAAAATTGTTTGCAAAATCTACCATAGAGATTGAAATGGCTAAGGGTGGAATCAGACAAAGAACTTCAAAAAAAAAAAAAAAAAAGTCACGTTGACTCAAGGCATTTTTACATTATTAAACTAAAAGAGAATTCAGTCCCTAGCAGAGACAGGAAATTCAAATGACACCAACCAAGATAAAGACTGTCTTTTGACACTTACCATATTCATGAGGGCTGGGTTGTTGAGAATTGAAGACAAATCCATGCCTTTCTGTCCAGCAGCACCACTTGCAAATCCAGCCTACATGAGAGAGAGAGAAAGACAAAACCTGACTTTGGATGTTTGTGAATGAAATGTACACAGAAAATCAGCAAAAGTCCTGCTTTTTTTTTTTTCTCTAAAAGTTTAGGCAAATGCAAAACATTGACAAAGTCTTCTTGTTTTTAAGAATTTTTGTTGAAGAAAAATATATAGGGAAATAAATTTTGTTTAAAATTCTTTTAAACTACGAAATTGTTGAGTTTTGACAAAATGAAACTTGATGGACCTTTAATTTTAAACACAAATGCTTATAAAAGTAATAGAAGTTTGTGCAGAAATTTTGCTGTCATTTTTACTCAGGAGGAAAATCTAAAAAAAAAAAAAAAATGTTTAAGTTTTTGAAGGTACAGAAAATTGTTTTATCCTTTAGATATAAATTTGACTAAATTTGTTACAATTTTCATGAGTGAAAAAAAACAAAACTTTTTCTTCAATTTGGAAAGAAGGATAAAGTTTATTAGAGACTATATAAGTAAATAAATTAAGACCAACTACTCACTCCAATGGCTTGTTCCCGCAGTTTTTGTTCTACCATTTCCAAATTATTCTTGTAATTTTGATTATTGGGGTCAAGTTCAAGAGCCTTTCTGTAACATTCACGGGATTGTTCGTTGTCCTCCAGCTCCAAATAAGCCATTCTGAGAAAAAGAGAACAAATCTGACTTTCATGTTCACAATATTTTCAGTGCAAATTTGGTTTGCTTTTCCAAAAACACTTCTCAAAGAAATATGGAAGAGAATGATGTACCTAAGAACAAATGCTGTTCAAGAGAAATACACTATCCATTTGTAAAGGTCTAAGTCTTTCAGTTGAAAGTATTGGATCAGGCCAGTTTTCTACACACAAAGATTAGGACCAGAAATATAAGTAAATAAATAAAAATAAATAAAAAGGCATTAACCCATGATTGCCACCTCCCCACTTTTTTTTTTTTTTTTTTTGGTAATATGAATTATTTCAAAGCACATGTGTAATTTATTTGATTCTAATCTTTAAAAATTCTCTTAATGAAAAATCTTTATCCAGTTCCAAGGAAGACTGCAAAAAAGGTACCTAGAGCAGTTGTTTATTGAAAGAAAAAAAAGTTTTGGAGGATGGAATTATAAAGGAGTATGAAAGACGGCTGAAAATACTTGAACAAAAGCATAAATGAGTTGCCCAATAAAGTTATTCTAAAAAGAAAGTCAAACAAGTTGTTACCCCATTCTGCCGTAAGCTTTGCTGTATCCTGGGTCAATTGCTAAAGCACAGTTGCAGTCTTGGATGGCTAAAGCATGCTTCGTTAATTTACTGTAGGCAGCAGCTCTGAAAGAGAAATATAAATAAAGGTTAAGAGCAAAAGTCATGAATTGAGACATAATTATAGTAAGGTGTAATTGAAAGAACCAAATTCTTAAAGGCAGCACATGGAAATCGCAAACCACACAAAAAATTCAAACCGTTTTAGAAACAAGATTAAGAGAATAAAAAACTTTCTGCTACTTTTCTGCCTATTCTTTTTTTTTTTTGCTTTATGTGCCATGTCCCTTTGGGACGTAGGCGATCATGTCCCTCCACAACTTCCTGGCTCTTCTAGCTCTTAATAAATTGTGTTTTTGCTATTTCTTCTAAACCCTGTTCTGCCATTCATTTACTCAAGCCCATCAAGTAAGTAATGCTGTTTTCCTGTCCCTCAATCTGTCCTGTGAGTATCAGGTTTTCCAAGCCCTCTTTCCACATTAAGTGGCTCAGAAATTTCAACTGCCTCTTTCTGATGTGAAATATAAGTTTCCTTTTTGTTTCCATTTTCTCTAAAACTGTCACTACTCATATTCAGTCCTTGCTAGCCTCAGCATCCTTCTGTAGAACCACATTTCTGTTACTTCTTTGAGAAGATTGTCCAGCATTCACTACCATAAAGGAGGACAGATGTCACATAACAGTTCAGTAATCTTTTCTTTGTTTCTCAAAGTTTTTCTGTCTCTTAATACACTGCTTAGCTCTTGGAATGCAATTCCAATGCGTCTTCGGATTTCAGTGTCACACTTTCTGTCCTCTGTTAGAACACTTCCAGATATTTAAATTTTTGTACTCGTTTGATTTTGGTATCCCGAATTTGTAATCTGTAGTTTTAGTCCTCTTTGCTTTCCTTTGCTACGTTCAGTAGGAGCTTTTGTAGTTTTCTTTCTATATCTGCTATCAACACTGTGTCATCTGCATATCTTACATTGTTAAGATTGTGGCCTCCAATAACGAATCATGATCAGACATCTAATTTTCTCAGAATTGCCTCATTGTATAGGTTGAATAAGTCTGGTGAGAAGACACATCCTAGTCTTATGCCCCTTTCTATTTTTTGTGTATCTGCAAAACACAGTTTCTATCCATATACAGGTGGTTTGCTGCCAATATAGGTTCTTGATTATTCCAATATCTTTCCCAAATGTCAAGGTTCCTGAGCAGTTCTAACAGATCTTTATGGAACATTTTATTAAATGCCTTTGCATAATCTGTAAAGCACAGGTACACATCCTTTTGTATTTGTATTGTCCTTCCTGATAACATTGAGACAAAAAAATTAAAAAAAAAAAATTGACATTAGATTTGAAAAGAACATAAACAGCACTTAGCATTGGGGTTAAATATATATATTTTTTTAAATGCATCAAATAATATAGGAATCATGGATAACTGTGTAAGGTCCATTGAGTATGTTTCTTTTCCTTTGAAAGTGAAGAGATGTCTTCTATTTGAAGAAATAATCAGATAAAAGTTACTTCCCTTCTAAGGGGAAAAAGTTTGCACTGATTTATAAATTTGAATCTTGCATAAAATTCGTGTTGATTAATATAACTGAAAATATTTAGTTCAAGGAGAAAAAAAAAAATTAAATTTCACTTCTCAGTTCTTTTTAAAATACAAAATTTTTCTTGCAGTCATTCAGAGTAATTTCTTTGTCTTGGTGACCATCACATTATTTTAGATGTCTATTGCATACCCGCATTTCCAATGCACATCACACTCTTGATCCAGAGATGGATATGCAATGTAATTGGTCCTGATCTGGCATCTCGCCTGCAGTCGCTCTCTCACAAAAAAGAAAAAAATATATACTGAATCAGATAACTTTCCATGACTATTGCAGAATTTGAACAGAGTACATAGGTTGATTCCTTAACTGTCATATTCTTCGGTGCTGTTCTCTGTATCTTTTAGAATTCATTCCATAAAAGGTTGGTACTGCAACCCATACATGATCAGCTATACCTGATGTTAAAGTTTCTACTTAGATTACAGCTTTTTGATATTGCTCCAGTTTTGTATTTGCTACTGCAAATTCACACAAGTAGCATTGAGACAGCAATATGAACAATTAATCCAAAGTTAAGACACCTTTGCAGGTTTGCTTTGATTGTCTAGGAAAAGAGAAAGTACAATGGCAAAAACAATCACATTTGGACTCTAACAGCAAATCTCATAACTTCAGCAAGAAACGTTTTCAGATTATGAAGAAATTAAATTTGGAGCTTTTGTCTAGAAAGATAAACGCCATGGATAGTGTAGAGAAAAATTAAAAATAGATTGGTTAAAGATTTTGCTCAAGAAAAGTGTAGTGGGGAATCAATCATTTTGTTTTTGAGTTTTTTTCTTCAATTATAAATAATCGTAATCCTTATTTGGCGCTCCGTAAATGTGATCTTGTGCCAGTCTTAACATAAACCAAGTAAATTAAAGATATTCAGGGATTAATAAAAGAGGAGAAAACAGAGACAAACCTGTTGCAATAATAAACCGCATTTGTGTTGTCCAAACGAATGGCTTGAGAGTAACATTCCAAAGCTTCAGAGAATTTTGTTGCTTTCATGAAATCATTCCCTGCAAAAAAGAAATTATTTTTCTTTCAACTTGAAAAAAAAAAAAAAAGATTTAAAATTTTTTTTTAGTTTTAGACTTTATCAGTTTTACATCTCAAATTTATTGTTATAGTTATTTTTTTTTATTTTTTTTTACTAATGGTCAAACATGAATCAACAAAGTCATGCTTTGTCATTAAAGTTTCTTTAAATATATCAAAATCATGGCTGCTATTCTATCTCCAAGCCCATCCAAGATTTTTCTTTGACTTACCAGCAATGGATTCTATGACATTCCAAAATGATTCAATAGGCTAGAGTATTGGCAAATAAGGAACAAATATTCTGGATGCAAAAAGTCTGTCAGAACAAAATCTTAAAGCCATTGTTGCTTCAAGTGCAGTCTTGTCTTGCAAATAAACATGAAAATTATCACAAACAAATAAGAGCATATTCTTTCATAACAAGCAGAGCATTAATCAATAAACATATCCACTTGCAAAATCCTCCACTTTGGGATAAGTTCAAAAGATGGTTACATAACACCTTTTTAAGCATCACTTAATGAAATATTAAAAAATTATTAGTTTGGAGTTCAAGTTTAAACTGCTTTGGATAAAACATATCAACAATAAATGAATTCTTTTCACCAAATTCATGAATGTGATATTAAGCATCTCACATATTTGTTGTTAAAAGTAATTCTTGATGGAGTCAGATATTTTACAAACTCTTTGGTTTCTTTACCAATCATTGGACATTTAATTCCATTGGCATATCTTAATGTTAACATCTTTTCCTCTTCCATAAAAATGCAATACAATTTACTGTACTTCTTCAATTGTGTTACAATAAGGACCCTACTTTCTTCTTTCAGTTATGTTGGAAGAATTGGCTGGGCAAATTTGAATCTGAAAAGTTATAAAAATGCAGGAAGACAATTTATTTTGATAAAATGTCAAAACTGGTGAGATATTTTGGCTTCATCCAATGTCGTAAGACATCAATATTTAAATGATTTTACAACAGAGAAGTAGGGAATCGATTTTTCACATTTAAGAAAGAAATTATGCAATTGTGATAACATTTTCTTTTATATACATCTTCATTCTCTGAATGTACAAAAGAATCTGTATAGAATTTTCCAGAAATGCTCACAAAATAAAATATTTTGAAACCAGATTTATATTGACACTGCAAATTAAAATTTACGAATAATAACAAGATAATTTCTTTGCAAATAGGATGGAGCTTAAATCAAAACAAATAACATTACTGGGATTATTCAACAACATTAAGAAAAAAAAAAAACAACTAAAACATTTGAAAATTCCTAAAGTATATTTTTTAAAAAAAGGACACAATTCTTGAAATGTTCTATTTAAGGAGTTTGAGAAATTTGATGGCTACAAAAGGTGGTGAGAAAAAAAAAAAAAAAAAAAAAAATCACCTTTGTTCTTGAATTTTTCAGCTTCCGCCCGTTCCTCTGGAGTTGGTTCATGTAATGTGTTTGCTGTGAAGTTGGCAGGTTTCTGTGAAGAAAAGAAAAAACAATGAATAAGAGGGAAACAAAAATAAACTTCTCAGCACTCCTGATGGGAAATGGTTTACTCATAAAAAAAAAAGAAAAGAAAAAAAAAAGTGTTTATTAGCAGCATTCATTGGACCTTCCTCTAGACACATTTTTTTTCTTCAATCATTTTAGAAGCAAACTCCTGTTTATAGTGTCAAATAAATCCCTGATTTTTTTAGAGATATCTTTCTTTACCTATTTACAAAGTCAGATTTGAAACTATGCCCATATTAATAAAGTGTGTACTATTGACATTGTCCTTTTTTGTTTTTTTCAATTAGGTATTTTACTTAAAGTCACAAAAAAAAAAAAAAAAAAAAAAATTACAAGCAGTAGTGGCTAAAGTCAAAGCCAAAAAGGAAAATAAAGGATGCGATGGGTAAATTGTCGCCAATTTATATTTTTAATTTCACACACGTGCATTTTGTTTTTGTTGACTGCATAGTACAATAGGGTCAGTTGGACACTGAAAAAAAAAAAAGTACCATGATGCAATTCACTCAGCCAGAAATTTAGAAACGACATGCTGTACTGCTTGGCATTTGTGCTGGAAGCTCCAATATGAACATTTCAAAGTGTTTGGGTGTCATTCTGAAGACAGTGCAGAGAATTTGGAAAGGGTTAGATAAGTCTAATGGTGATTACAAAGGTACGACAGTTTGGAAAATTCACTGATTGTTCTGTTAAAAAAAGAAATCCTGAATTTGTTGGTGAGGGCCTCAGGCTTGACACAGAAGCCTACATCAAGTGCCTTGAAGAGGTAGTGCTGCCCTGGGTCAAGAAGGTGGCTGCTGGAAGACCCTGGAAGTTCTGGCAACAGGACTCTGCACCATGCCACACAAGCAGGAGAACTCAAGTCATGGCTGTTGGACAATTTCTGCAACCACATCTGGCCACCTAACTCCCCAGACTGCAACCTCCTTGATTATGTGTGGAGTGCAGTTGAGCGTGAGACTAACAAAACTCCTTGTAACAGCAAAGATGAACTGAAGGCAAGGATTATGGCAGCACTCACCAACTTAAACAAGGAGACCATCCAAAAGAGATGCAGAAGATTCCAAAGTCATCTGGAGGCTGTGGTTGAAGCTAATGGCACTTTTATTAAATAAATTTACTCTTTAGTATTTCAAGATATTTTTGTGTAATTGATAAATATATCTGTTAAAATGGGTACCTCCATGAGATCACTATAAAAAAAAAAAAAAAAAGCATAATATGATGAAAAAGACGCTAAACTTGACAAAAACAAAATTTTATTGTCTAAATGCTTGTTATTATTAAGAGGAAAGATCAAAGTTTACTTTAATTATTTTTTTAAAGTTTTTCCTTCTTTTTAGAACATTCTAAATTTTGATTAAAAAAACCTTGTTTCTCTTTGTATGACTGGAACTAGTAAAATAACACAGACAATTTTTAGCACATTTTTTTTTTGTATGACACACATTAATTTGGAAAATCTTGCAAAAAATAAAAATAATTGTCGGATGTTAATGGAACTTTCAGAAACTATTCACAGATGATCGAAATTATTATAAATGTGTTTTTTTTTATTAAAGTCATGGCAGAAATATTTTTTATATTTATTACTCCCCCCCCCCCGATAACTAATTTTATGAAAATGCTAGAAATTCGATCACGTCAGGTTTAGTGATTGCAGTAGTTAAAAGCACAAGGCTTTGAGGAATGCAAATCATGTTTTATTTGTTTTTAATTGGATCAACACTACCTGAAAATCAGCTCTGAATTGTAACATACAAAACTCAAAACAAATTATTTAATTTCAAATGCTTTTATTTACTTTAGTTGTTTTATGAATATGGACAATATTTTCTGAAAGCAAAAAAATTTTTCAATGAAAAATGAATTTTTAATACAATTATTTGTTATTTCTTTAATAGATTTTTACATTTAAGTTGTTAAAATATCATAAAATTAGTTAAAAGCCGCATTGGGTTTCCTAAGTGTCCTTATGAGATAGATCTTTTTTAGGGGGTTGTAAATTGTATCATTTTGACTAATCAGAATATCCACAGTAATTAAGAAATGTAATTTTGTGTTTATAATTGGGCTGTAATTATAAAGTATGGAAGACCAACCAGAATACAATTAAGTTGCTTTATTTGAGTTAAGCATTGTTCTCTGCGTTTAGTAAGGCCTTTACTTTTGTGAAACACGTGTGGAGAAGTTAATTTGATTTTTCAATTTCAACTGAGAAGGGTACCTACAAGTATCAGTATAATCTTATGAAATTTATATGATCTTATTTTCATATTAATCTCAGTTATGACATTTTCCATAAATGAAATATCAAAATTAATGGAAATACAAATAACACAGTAAAATGTAATAAATGTACGTAAAATTATAGTATTTTATGTACACTTCTGATAAAATTTCATAAGAAAAGGTACCTATAAATTAATTAGATACCTTTCTTATGAAATTTAATCTCTCTCTTAACAGTCTTATTTTAATTTCTTTATAATATATTTTCCATAAAGCATCGTAAACGTGAAAGCTAAGTACAAAAAAAAAAAAATTAGAATGCTGAAAGTTTTCCTTAATAATAACGAGGTAAATAATTTGATCACTTAAATGTAAATTATTTCACTTTTCTCCTTCTGTAGAACAAAATGTCATTCCTCACCTGTCAAGTGAGGCGAAAGTTTATGACCTGCTTTGTTTTATTTTCAAATTACATCTTTTTAGTGCAGAAACTAAGTTAAGCTTGGTTAAAAATATTTTAAATAAACATTATAATCTCTGATTTTGTTAAAATAAGTTTTGAAAAAAATGATAATTGATATTTAAAAGAATTTCAAAGTGAGATTTTCATTTTTTTTATAAAATGGAAAAAAATGGTTGCCATCTGTCAATTTTGCCGACTCAAAAAACAAGATTTTTAACGAAAATTTTGGATGTGCTAGGAACGATTAAAAAATGTAAAAAAATACCCCCGAAATATTTTTATTTTTCCTCTTAATAATAACAAACATTTAGACTATGAAATTTTCTTTTCGTCAAGTTTGGCATCTTTTTTCATCATGCTATACTCTTTTTTTAATGATCTTGTGGAGGTACCTATGTTAAAACAAAATGTTACTGTTAGTCTCATGTGTGGCAATTTATCCATCGCACCCTGTACATAAACATTTTGCAAAAACTTATTTAAAAGTTTACTAGAAAATTGGGAAAATGATAACATCAGTAGTACACAGTTACCAATAGCATAGGCCCAGTTTCAAAGTTGACAGTTGTAACTAAAAACAAGGTAAAGCTATAAAAAAAAAAAAAATATATATATATATATATATATATATATATATATATATATATGGGATCATAGGAGTCATATTATGAACCTTCCCACTTCTAAAATAAGAAAATCAATTTTTTTTTATTCTCTCAAATGTCACAGGTAAAGGAAGGTTTAATGAATGCTAATCAGCAAAATTCTTTTTACAAGTAGACAATTGTTGTTCAATAGTGCTAATTTCTCCTTTTCTTTAAAATTACAATCAACAAATTATGTAGTTAGGTAATCATGATCCAGCAAAAAAAAAAAAAAAATAAATAAATAAAAAAAGTTTCCAAATGAAAAAGAGGAAATAAAGAGATTTTAAGACAGAAATGAAGAAACTCTGGTTAAAAGAATACAAAGCAAACAATATTGTCATCTAGCCTAAAAACAATGATAGTTATCTCTAATTGGCATTTATGATTATAGCCTTGTACCAAAGACAAGTTTAGTAAATCTTTATAAACAAGTAACATTGAAGGAAAATATACAGAATTAGATAAGAGCAACAACTGAGGAGAAAAGAAAAGTGAAAGATATCTCATGACATTGAAAATAAATTCATAAATAGCTCCATATTTTTTGTAAAAAAAAAAAAAAAAATCCCTAAAGTGTTTTTGTTTTTTAAACTAATATCCTGGCTAATGTGTGCCACACACCTGAGAGAGGAAAAAAAAAATTTCAACTTCCTTGTGTACTTCATGTGATCACTCCTACAAACAAAAGATAGGAATTAACAAGAAGAGGGGGCAAATCAAACAGAGGAGATGACCATCACTAACTCCCTCAACCTATGTACACACACAAAAAACAAAAACCTGAAAAGTAGACAAAATAAGAACAGATCAAATAAAAGAGTCAGTTTCCCCACACTAATGGAGAGGAAGCCAAAGAGAGTTTTTCATGCCTGTCCAAGAGGAGAAAATAACAAAGTTCATTAAATATCACCAAAGAACATCTGCTATGAAACAAGTGGACAGTTGTGAAGAGATCAAAAGATGGACAATGGACCAAAAAAAAAAAATAAAAAATAAAAAAAAAAATATTTTAACAGTGAATGACTGAAGAGAGAAAGAAGTGAATTAAAAAGGGAAAATATTTTCAGTTTCCAATGGGCAAATCTCCAAATCTAAATGAATTACAGGCAATGTGAGAGAAGATTTTATACATTCATTGCTATAAAAAGTCAAACAGGAGCACATATTGAAAATGTGCAAATATGTTTTAATAAGATTTTTAAAAAGTTCAAAATAATAAATTTTATTTTTAATCCTTTTTCCTATCTTAAAACTCACAAGATTTGCATTCCTAAAATTTCTTATTTATTTAGAAAGAATATTACCCTTTGAAATTGTAAAAAAACATTTTTTACTAAACTCCAAATATCACTTTCATAAAACCTTCAAGTTTCTCTAATTATTAATTTCTTTAAATTCGAAATCACTGTTTATGCTATTACTTCCAAAGAATCCCATTATCAGGGGCTAGTGGTGAGTGGAGTGATTTGTCATCAAGTAGGTAACAGTCAAAGAGAAGCCAGATTATTTGCCAGTCTTAAATGGAGAAAGAGTTTAGTCAAGATTCTTTTTATGGCCTGTTATAGTTTATAAATTATAGTTTATTAGATCAGAGTAACAACAATATAGAAACATGTCAATAAAATTTAGAAGCAGAAATTGGCAAAAATAATTAAAAAAAAAAAAAAAAAAAAAAAAAGGTGGGGAAGGAAAAGACAGATTAGAAAAAATATTTTTCTTCTCACCTCCGTATTTATATGAGAGTTAAAAATATCAAGAAGATTTTTGTCAACATGATACTTGGCAGCTGACTCTGGTTCACTGGTGTTTATTCCATAGGCAGACTCCAAACATTGCATGGCAACTGCAAAAAGAAAACATTTTCTTTCAACATTTGGTGTGGAATAAACAAAAACATGAAGAAAATTGACAAAATTGGATTTAATTATTTCCTCTAACAGAACTAAAAGTAATAAAAATGTTGTTCATTCAGTTCTAAACAGAGAAAAATAGATCCAGGGTTTGAGTAGAAAGGTAGAGAGTTTTGTATTGAAATATTGTAGGAATCCAAAAGGTTCATTACCATAACATCATAAATACAAAGCCAATCAAGAATAAAACAGAATGACCTACTTGAAATGGAAATAGGGATTTTGAAATGGAAATTTGACAGACATCAAAAGAGAAAGTAATGTTTTAATACATTCTCCTTATCTACTGTCTCCCCCCTACAGTTTACAGTATTTAGGAACTAAAAAAAAAATGTTGTGATAGTGGTGTGGGAGAGAAACAAAAATTTTGTCTTTTCAGAAAGTCAAATTTTACAAATTTTATTTAATAATTTTCATAAAGTGACCAAATGATAATGTAGCTTTTTGTATCTAGATGACATTGTGGTGCTACTTTTTCTGTAGGTTTTGTCACTTTCACTTAACTCTTATTTAGGATTGTAGAATTCTTTGCAAGGGTTGAAACTCATCAAGTTAGATTAAGGGCAGAAGTATGAGGTACTATCAAGCTGGAGCAACTTATCCAACAAGTGGATATTCCAGCTGGTAAAATTTTTTATTTTCTTGTTTTAATAACATTTATATATCATTGCACTAAGTATTATAATGAAACAAAAACAGAAATCTATGCTGAAATGAGGAAAAAAAGTGGAATTCCTGAGACCTGAAATGGAATTAAGGAAAATTTGAAACGGAAAATCTGTTCCTCTACAATAACAATAATAAAATCCTCATATTGAGAAGTGGAATTATGGAGCACAACAAAGTGATACAGAAATTGTAGCCTTCATGAATTCATACTGTTAGACATATTTTACCCCAACAGAGGAAGAGTGTTGTTAAAATTATTGAAGAGTTCAGCAGTAAAATCTTTGTGTTTCATACATTTTCAGACTTAACAATATTGAATGAATGAGGATTTCTGGTGCAAGTGTTAGAAATGTGCAATATTACAGGTGGAGATATAGATATTGTTTACATAGGACTAATATTGTTAGCAGACTAAAAAAAAAGGTTTTCAGCAAAAGAATTGCAAGAATGCAATTTAAGAGACAAAACCATTGAAACCTGATCTCCAAGCTTCTTAAACTGAATCAAATCTAATTAGAATTTTTTTTTCTTTTGGGAACAGAATATTTACAACCATAAACTTGTCATTTTTTAACAAAAGATAGAAACCAGATATAGAATTGCAACTAATTTAATCAAATTTAAAATTAAGTCACAAAATTAGACAGCATTTTTTTTTTAAGCTATACAGACAAATTATGATTTATTTTCTGTTCAATTTGTTTGTTGACTTTTACCCAAGAGAGTCATTCATAAAAAATGAAGAGAGCATCAAAGAAGACATTTCAATTCTTTCAGTGAATAATGCCATTTATTTTTCTTGAAGATTTGAAAGTTCAAGAGTTCACAATTGAAAGCTTTTATTTGAAAAATTAGACAAACTTTGACCAATGAGTTGGATAAAATCAGATGAAACTTAATTGAACTTAAAACTCATTTAAACATTTTGTGAAATTTGAAACTATATTTGAATACATAAGTGTCAACAAATATAACACAGATACATCAAATAGTCTCAGAAAATAATTTTGAGTGTAATAAATAATATATATATATATATATACACACACACACAAACACGGGTTGCTCTGAAAGTAATGCCTTATATTTTAGTAAACGCACTCAATATCAGTTGATATTGACGATATAGCAGTAGAGTTTAAACATTCCTACCACCAACTCATATTTTTCCTTATTACAGATACCAATCTGGCAAAACGAAGAATATCACAAAAATGCATACAAATCAGGGGTGTCTCATTGAATTCCTCGTTAACATTCATCAATACTTATCAAATGTTTATGGGAACTAAACAGTGGACGTAAACATAGTGGGTAATATATTTCAGTAAGAGGGAGTGATGTGTTTGATGTCTTTAATATTCTGAATGGTTTTACACAGCTGTCAAACTGACAAAATGAAAAGCAAAATAGATAGTCAATAAAGGTAACAATGTGGGGAGGAAAAAAAGATGTAGTTTCTGTAGAAATAAATCAGTCATTACTTTTGGAGTATATCGTGTGTGCATAAGAAATTCATTTTTCACACATTCCTTCATAAAGAGCAAAGCAACATGTACTCTTGTGTGTGTGTATGTGTGTGTGTGTAGCTCAAAAACAAAAATATAGATTTATTTTGCTATTAGCTCATCTAAGTTGATGAAAAACAAGCACCAAGGCCCAAATATTATTTACTCTCCATTCAAGTGACACCCCCACCCAACAATAAACTGTAGAGGATATAAATGAGTGGTAGATCTTCAAATGGAGATAAACACCTCAGCTATCTGTCAACTGCACAAAAATACATCTACTCTTTTCTACTGACTCCATTTCATTCTAGCTAATTTTCTACCTACCACATAAATAAAGTGTCACATGACCAGATTAATAGAATTTTTTAAATGAATGTGAATTTTTTTTTTATCAGATGAGTTGAGAAATTTACTTCTATTATCAAGGTATAAATCTTGACAATAGAAGTAAATTTCTCAACTCTTTCCAATTGATTTTTTTTTTTGCCACTGAATGATTTTAGATTCATTCAGTAACTGAGAAAAAGAGGAAGAAGGGAGTCTTTTGCCTTTTGTGTGTGTGTTTGTGGGGGGTTAAATGAGCCTTTTCTAACATATAAGACCTACTTATTTCAGAATATTAGCATTTCATTAATTTGTAGTAAAGCTCAAAATGGAAATCCTTTTGAAGGTGAAGGCCATAAAAACTATCCAATACTTTCATGAAATTATAAATTATAATTTGTATCTTGGTTAGTTTCATCTGTTTTACTACCAAATTATTTAGATATATTGACAGTTCTAAGGTATTAAAGTTTGGACAAGAAAATTCTAGTATTTAATTAACTCTCAAACTAACAAGCTTTAATCTTTAAAACATCAAAGTTTCAATATGGATTTGTTTCTTTGGCTCTTTACAAATTTACTTGTAAAAATTGAATTTTTATTTGAACTGATTTAATGGAACTATCATTACTCAGCCATCATTAAATGTAATAAGCAAATCTAGTTTAATAAAGTCATAAGTTTGGTCAAGATATATGGAACATCCAAGAAGACTGAAATTTGTGATAAATAGTCAAAGTCTGATGGTGCTTTTAGATCTAATTCCATTCAGTTGAACACTAAATGCTTCTAGAAAACAATATCAAATGGTGAGCAACAGAGATTGGTAAAGAAAAATGAAATTTACACAAATATTCCACATATAAACAATGTGTACAACTAGAAAGATTTTAAAATTTCCTTGAAACAGTGCAAAATTGTGTAAGAATTTCAATCAATATTTTATAATAAATTTTTAAGCCATTTTTAAAGTATATATATTTAAAATTATAGTATATGCATGTTATAACATCATTACAAAAATTGCAATTTTGTTTCAACTGGTGTCTTATCAAATGATGGTGTTGATTGCAAAATAAAGGGTTTTAAGAGTTCAAAAACCAACCATACAATACTTGTGTGTGTATACACACACACACACACACATATATATAGTTAATTTTAAGATCTGTTTGAAAAAATGATTCTATTTGAATATCAAACACTGAGTTACTGCCCTTACATTTCTAGAACTAGCTTCATATTCTGAAACTTCTTATAGATCTGAAGTCATGCATCAGGCATAAAATGAAAAATTGTATCCCAAATCCAATATCATTCATTTCAACTATTTTTTTCCATATGTAAAAAGTAAAATATAATTTAATATCTGTGAAGAACAATAAACAGATTTTCAATTTACATAAAAAGAAAAAACTACATTTCAATTTCTGGGAGTCTTTTCCTTTCACAAATTATAGTCTTTCATATAGGATCAGAATAATTATGGGTGGGATGTCTGAGCTTTATTTATTATTTATTTCTTTGCAGCAATTCCACAGAGATTCTAAATTTTGGCTCTGTATATTGGCATCATAATATTCCTATAGATTTAAATCCAAAAGGGGGCTCACAATATGAGGTTCTTTAAAAAAATAAAGAGAAGGCAATTCAGTATTTGGTATGCAAAAATTATTTAAACCTAATAATCAACAAAATCTTCAATTTTGCGTGTTCTTTATTCCCACCTGCACTCACTTCTCTTCTTTATATTTTTTAGAACTGCTGGTACAAATTGACAATCAACAATTCCAGGTGGCTCACCCTCTCAGCAGCATCTCTGCCAATGCACTAAAAAGGAAAAGTGTCAGGGTTAATCCCTGATGTTTGAAGTAAAAAAGAAGTGCCAACAGAACTGAACAATTCTTGTTAGTAATACCATGGGACTTGCACTTTGGTCTTCTTGTGCCATGGTTAGTGGATATGCAGATAAGAATTTATGTTCACTTTTTTTCATAATGTCACAAAACTGCTACAAATTAATGCCTCTAAGTTTTTATTTTTCTTTATTGTTTTTCAACTGGAAAAACTTGTTTCAAAATAAACAAAAGAAAAATTCTTACCTTCTAAACTTTCAACAGCATCATCACTGAGATTTCCTGAGGTTTTTTGATCACCAAAAAATTTCAGTATAGAATAGACCAATTTAGAGACATCAGCCATTTTACAAGAAATATCTATAAATCGAAAGAAATAAGCTAAATAAATTATTTAAATTTCAAAATTTATATTATGAGAGACAAAAAATATAATTGGAATTGTTTGCTTCATGTTATTGTTATGAATCATAAAAAATATTTCTTTAATAAAAAAAAATTTTAAAAGTTACATTTTAATAGCAAATTATCACACAAAAAGAAAATCAGTGTTTAACAAATATTTTTAAATTCTATCTGAACATGATTAAAAAGCTTTTAAAAATAATTAGAGTAATTAGTAGTTCTAAAAGAAATGTCATTTGAAAAAAAAAATCTAAGAAAAACAATTTATTTTACCCCTCTCAGAACTTTCTTTAATCAGCCCCCCAATAAGTATAAACCAATTTTATTGAAGAAAAAAATGGTTGTGAATGTTTTCTCTCGTAAATCATTTTCAAAATGTTTCACGAATTATTAAAAGAAAAAAAATGGATATATTTTTTAGTTTACATTAAAATTTAAATTTTACGCTTGAAAACATTCATAAAAAGTGTTTAAAAAGTAAAAACTAAGTTAACAGAATAATTTATTTTCATTGAAATGTGTAAAAATTATTCAAGCATCGATACAAATTTTAATGAACAAAAGCTGCAAGAATCACAAGATGCTTTTGTATTTCTTGTACAACGTTTTAACAAAAACAGTTAACTTTTTTTTCTCTTATTTAGAGAATAACAGCAAAACTCATAAAGGAAGATAAAAATAATACTTTAAGCGATAATATTATTATTATTTTTTATTTAAATTCATCTCGGCATTTAATCGTTGGACAGATGGTCATTAATCACAGAAAGAAGAAAAATATGATTTTTAAAAAGCCAAATAGATTTCTTCTTGTTCATTTTCAACCATAGCGTGGCTAAAACAAAATGACGACTACCCTCTTCTATAATAAATTTGTTTCTATTTTTTGTGAGCTTCAAAATAATTCGTTATGTCGACGATAATAGTTTCATCACGAAACCGTATTAATGTAAGCAATGTAAAAAGAAACGTTTCAAAACAATAAATTAGTTACATGTACAAAATTGCTAAATTTGAAATAAATAAATAAAAAATAAGACAACTTCACTTACATTTGCCTTCTGCCAATGGAGTGCCGTAAAGTGATCTGTTACAGATTTTACGACGTCGATGTGACTGGACGCAAATAAACTGAAGAAAAATAGTAAAAATTAGCACGTATTTATTAAAATTACAGACTCTGTTAAAATTCCAAGTAAATTTTTCATTTATTTTTGAGATATTGGTTTTTATTGATAATTATTTCCAGTGTCTCAAATGAGTGCGCCGTTTTGCGTTACGTGCACGCCACCTGGCGACAACACCATTGATTTAGAGAATGACATAAAAATTCTATTTAAAGGCTGTTTGAAAGTTTTCCTTGTCTTCTTAGTTGTCAATATTGTGGGAGGAGCAAGAGGGAATCATATATCAGACAATACTGTACAGAATTATTTTGATAGTTGCATAAGAGAAATATATATGTAAAAACAAAATTGAGATAATTTACCCATGAAGTAACATCAACAATATCAAACTTTAGTTAAATAATTGCACTTTTGTAGGTATAAAAAAAAAATTAATTTTCTAAATTTTTTTTTCTGTTCAAATTAATTAGCAAAGTGAGTAAATGCTGATGATATTAAAAAAATTGACAACATTGGATTTATTCATTTATCAAGTTTTATTGTTCTAAC